CTTTCCCTGCCCTGCCTTCTTCCCTTCAGAGAGCAGCACTCTCAGGGCAACAGAGTAAAATATTTACAGGGGCCAAAAAGTGACCCCAAACTCAGAGGGGAACAACAGAAATTGTCCCCTGCTGGACAGGGTGGACGTGTAAGGACCCACGGCCCTCACGTGGATACCACCTGGGGTCTCCCTGCCAGACTCTGGTGTAAGCCCCCTGCACAGCAGTGCCCGTGGGCAGCTGCAGGGAAACTCCCCACTTCCAGCTCATGGAGCCTGGACCTCCGCGATGATGATGAGGGACTTAACAGTGAGAAGCACACCCAGCACCCAGGAGTTTCTGCCGAGGAAGATTAGTCTTTGTCACCTGCTGTTGTATAATTAAAGCGGCTCTTGCAGCAGAGCGCTGGCATGCCCACCAGCAGCCCTGAAAACGCTCTCTGAACGATGATGCCCAAGGCTGGGGTGATGGGCCCCAGCACACGGCAGAGTCTCAGCAGAGGCCCCTCCCTGTCCCTTGGCAACGCGGGTCCAGCTGAAGCTCCCCACACCTGCCTGTTGCTGCTCAGCTGCTTCTTGCTGGGCTGGAAGCCACGTCTTTAGGCAGGTTCAGGGCAGGAAGGGGAGCTGGGGAGATGGCTGCTCTCTTGGCCGGGCTGCTTCACTCAAGGACGGCCTCAGCAGTGTGACCAGATGGCCTACACTGATCCCCGCAAGTGAATGTTCCAGATGGCTGATGCTGACCGTCTGGAGCGTGGCCACCTTGGATACAGTCCCCACCATGCTTTCCTGCGGCTGCCGAGGGGAACAAGGACTCTGAGGTGGGAGACCTTGGACACAGTCACTTCATTCATTCACTGATGCATCCATTTTTTCATTGATACATTCACTCATTTAACCAATATGTATGGGGTTTCCACAACGCTCCTGGCCTGTTCTCAGTAGTGGGTATTTAAAAGAGAGTATAAGAGTTGACAACCCTGTCCTCGTGGGGCTTATATTGTAATAGAGGGAAGAGACAGAAAAACAGACCAACAAATAGATAAATAATGGTAGGTTGTGATCAGTGCTTTGAAGGAAAGGAAAGTAGGGTACAGGATCCATGGTGGAAGGATGCAATTTTGGAAAGGGGATCAGGGAACTCCTCTCTAAGAAGATGGCATCTGAGCAGACACCTGAGGAAGTGAGAAAGCCATCCACGGGGGCATCTTCGAGGCCAGCGCTGGATCTAGCCGTGGGCTCCACGAGTACAGATGCCCCAAGGCAGGAGGGGCTCAAGGCTTAGGTGTCGCAGGAGAAGCAGGGAGGCTCGGGATGCCTGAAGAGGGCCACCCTGGGGTTCACCCTCTGCTTCCATCTCTTCCCCACGCCGACCCCCAAGTCTAAATAAAGCCAGGCCTGGTCTTCTACTCCATGTGGGGCCTGCTTTCTCCTTCCACAGGAAGAACTCACTTCACACAAATAGCACTTTACAGTTTACGAAGCCATCTCACTATCTCGACCCCATTTAATCATCATACGGACCTGTAAGGTAGATCTTATCATCCCCATTTTCCAGATGGGGACATGCAGGCTCAGAGAGGCTACGTGGTTTGTCCAGGTTCACACAGCCAGGGAGTGGCTTAGCTACTATTCAGATCCACCCCCAGCATCTGATTCGTGTCCTGAGCCATTGAGCCCCTGTAGCCCCCCTGCTTGGACTCCTCAGGCACAACTGTCCGCTTGGCGGACAGCCTCCCAGCCACCCGCGGGGAAGGCCAGAGCCTAACAGAGCGCGAGCTCTGCGTGGATGGGGGCCGAGGCAGCCAGAGCAGCAAGTGGGCTTTGCGGCTGCTTGAGGAGATCCAGAACGGGGCCAGGGGTGCTGGGGAAAGATAGGGGGTCAGGCTTTCTTCTGCGAAAGTTCAGTCAAACCTGGGAAATGCTCCCCCTTTCTGGGCTCCAAGCTTCAAAAGGAAAAGAAATATGAGGAAGCAAGAGTGAAGATGGTGCCGGAGGGTCTGCAGACCAGGCCTGCAGTGCATGGCCTTCACTTCCTCCCCGCATCCCCCAGGGAGGCCGAATGCAGCGTGGCTGTGTGTGCGAGGGGCGGTGTTGGCCGGCGGAGTAGTCTCTGTCCCAAGGCTATTGCCAGATGAGGAGTCTGTGTGTACTTACACCCTCCACAGGGGAGGGAGGCAAGAACGGTGAACAGATTCCAAACAGCACCTGTGAGGATGGCAGAAACAAGGGCGCTCTTTTACCAGGAGCAGAGCAAACCCAGCTCCCCTGATGTGGGCAGAGCTCTCTAGGGAGTACGGTGTCTCTTGAGTGTCCCAGAGCTCATTCCAGGAACCACCCAGAATCACAGAGGAAAACTGTGATGGGACGAGCACCTGAACTCTGGTCCTCACCTCTGTCTCCCCAAGTAGAATGAGAACTCCTTGGATACAGAGACTGACAGATGTGGGGTTCCCTGAGTCCAGCACGTGCAAGCCCAAGGGTGCAGAGGTGGGGGGCACAAAGAACATGGATTTTTTTTTTTTTTTTTTT